AGACAAGAATCAAAATCTTATAGATCCTTCTTAACTATCCATCATAGATGCAATGATATTTTTAACTTTCTTAGATATTATAGAAGTCTTTTATTAAAAAAAATATAATTTCTACAATCATTTTTTTGTCCAATTTCGGAAGTCCATTCTTTCCATCTTTAAATTTGTATATCTTGGCAATGAGGTATAAATCCCACTCTTTGAATATGCCTAAAATCATATTATTTATGCTAGAAGGAATCTCTTTTATAGTCAATTCTTCTATCATTAAATTGGTCAAAAAGTTGAGCTACATTTTGTAATTAATACTTGTAAAATCTTCTCTAAGCTTTGTTTTTGCCTTCTTATCTTTTAGATTCTTGAGCTTGATCTTTTTCAAAATAATCTTTTATTTTGACTTAAAATTTTCCATTTCTTACTTAATTAGATCTTTAATGTGCAAACCTTGACTAATTACTTTATTTTACTCTCTAATTTTTTTTTTAATTCATATGTATTATTTATCTTCAATCAATATATCAATATTTGGATATTTCTTAGATCAACATTATTTTTTGATTTTATAAGCTTTATTTTAAATTTCTTTTAAAATTTTGATCACTTTCTGTCTGTTGTTGATGTGATTCAAAGATAAAAGCTTTCAAATCCATTATTTTATTTCATTTTAGTCATATAAGCATACAATAATTTGTAGACTAATAGTCAATCTACTAAGAATTCTTTATTAAATATTATTATTAATTCTTCATTGTTCTCAGATGGTTTCTTTTTCAATATTATTTTCTCAATGAATTTATTATTAAGACCTTTATCAATTAAATGTGACTTTTCTTTAAAATTCTTGATAATTGTAGTGGCTTAACTGGAAGTTAATGGTCCCATTAAAGTTGTCGTTGTGTGTCACCGATTACTTCAAATTAATAGAAGTTCAATTTTAGATTCAAAACTCAACTTTTTTTTGTTTTTTGTATTAATCCTATTCTAAATTAATTCACCTTAAGATGTCTGCTCAATAGAAGCAATAGTATTTTTTTATATATAAATTTTATGAAAATTATATTTGAATAAATTCCAAAGCAATTCCAATCTTGACTCTTATAAAACTATTAGTTTATTAATAATATTTAATTTATATTAATAAAAAATTCTAATTTTTAACTTTATTTTTATTTAATTTTAATTTAATTAATTTGAATAAATTTAAAATTTATATTTATATATATATATATATATATATATATATATATATATATATTGCATGCATATCTTAATAAACTTTTATTCTCAAAAAAATAAGTATACAATATAGTCATCTTTTTTATATCTTTATTCTACTACTTTGATTTTTATTAATTGATACTACTCAATATTGATTTATACTTTGCTACTTTGTATTAAGCCCTTTAATTAATTCTTTCAATACAATATGATTCTTTACAATATCTATTTCATATTTTCCTCAATTTAGATATAATAGATTATCTTGTTATTATGTTTATTTTAAAATATATAATAGAATGGATGGAATTCATAGTCTTCTTTTAAACTCCACTATTTTGCCATCCTAATCAAATCATGTTTAAGTCATTTGGCTTTAAATCAATTGACATTCTTTGATAAGATTGTTTATTATCTCTATATATTAATAATTACCCATTATAAGTTGATTCTTGTAGTGTTGTCATGTAGTAACATGACTATATGGTGAAAAATAAAAATAGGGATATTATTATAGAAGAGCCTAATAGGAAGATGTAGTAGAAAAATAAGGATAAATTATAGAAAGATAATAAAAGGTTTATTCTTAATGTTGTCTTTTAGAGAAGGAGCTTCTATTTCCTTTATAGAAGCATAAATGCCTTAAATCACAATAAATGACATAAGTAATTAATATAGACATGTTTAAAAAGGACTCGCCAGTAGGTTCAAGCAAAAGTTACATCAAATTATCAAATATTAGTACCTAGAGAGGACTAATTGTCAACATAGGTCAAAATCAGACCCCGATGCACAAAACTGCATACCTATGGCGATTCTAGGGTTATTTGGTAAATTAAAGAGCAAGATTTGAGAAAAAACTAGTAAAGAGATTTTTGAACATTGGTTTTATGTCAATTGAGTTAATATTTAGTTTTTGGAAGATTTTTAAAGTTAACATTGTTTTTGGTTGGATTAGATTTTGAAAAATAAAATCATATTTATAAAATTGAGGGTTTCTTGAATTTTGTGGTGTGTTTATATGTGGATTTTGGAAAGTGTGTTGATGTTCTAGTTATTAGTATATATGAAGATTTTGAGATCAATTGAATGGTTAGATCAAAGTGTGTGAAGGTTTTTGTAGGCTGAGGTCTCAAAAATTGGAATTTGAAGATCAGTAAGTGTTTTTAAGATCTTTAGCAATTTATTAATTGGATTGAAGTGAATTTTTTTTCTAAAGAATAAACTTGATTTTCTACAATTTAAGTGTATTTTAGAGGCAATTCAATGGTTTAAGAAGGAAATATTGATACTGGAAGTTCAACATTCAAATTGGAGTAGAAAGCTAGCCAACACCCAAGGAGAATTTAGGTTCAATCTTCTATTTGGTAAGTTCGATCTTCTTCAAATTTTGTATACTTATTGCCAACTTAGTCGTCAAAAATTGTGTAAAATCTTAAGTAAGATCAATGGTATAATTGATAGATATTGAGGTTCTAAATTACCTGAGAATTAGATTAAATTTATTAAGATTTGGTTTAGGATTTAGAAATTGGTTAACATCTAAGATTTTTTTAGGATTTAATTAGGATTTTATTTAGGATTTAAATAAGGACTATTAAGATTTTAACTAAAATTAAAGTAAGATTTGGTTAGAATTTATTTAAGATATATTTTGGATTTTATTTTAATACTTGCTTTGAATTTCTTTAGGATTACTTCATGATTCTTTTGTAATTTCTTTGAGGTTTCTTTGAGTTGACTAAAGCTTGATTTTCATTGTTAAGATTTAATTGGAGTTATTTAAGAATTTATTAAAATTATAATCTTATTGTTACAATACTCCTTCTACCTTCCATAGCCAAGTGTTGAGTGCTTAAGCAAGGCTTTATATAATACGATAGCATCTCTATCTCAAAACTTGGATCAATATTATTCTTGATATTGGTTTCGTGTGCAACTATGGCCCAAAGTGTGTCCACTTTTTAATTTATTTTTTTTGCAATTCTTAATACTTTTATAAGATTTTTATTTATATCTTTATTTATTTCTTCTATTTAATGTAGTTATTTTTCTTTCTTTTTTTTTAACTTTTTTTTCTTACTTAACCACATTTGATAAAAAAAATTAGATACCTTTAGTTCTAATTAAGCTCTCTTCTATTCTTATCTTATTTAGATTCTTACACTAATTCTATTACAATTTATGTTATTCTCTTTAGAACTAGCCATCTATTAATTTTTAAAAATATTTTTTTTAATAAATAATTCTATTTAATTTTTTATTATTTTTTAAAATTATATATAATTTTAATCCATCTTTAATAAAAAATAATTAAAATGTTAATATAAATAAGTTGTATTTGTAGTGGCAAATGTTGTAGTGGCATGTAGTCAATGATAGGTTGTTGTAACATTAGCAACACTTTATATTTACATATATATCTATATGTACAAATTTAAATAATATTTTTTTAAAAGCTTATTTTTTATTATTATTAAATTTTAATATTTTTATTTTTAAAAAAATCTTCAATACAATAATGAATGTAGCATATTTAAAAGAAACATTGATATATACTATAAATATTCAACTTATATTTATAATTTCAAGATTTTATAAGATTTAAGAAGTATAAAAATTTATTTATTAAGATTTAAATGATTTTTATAAGTAGGTTTATAAAAAAAATCAAAAAGAGATGAAAATTATATTAATATATTGCTTGTTTAAGCTTCAATTATTAAATTTTTTAAAACAAACTAAATAATGAAAGGTTGTTTTAAAGCTTTTAAGAAAAAGCAAAGAATTGAGTGGTTTACCTTACAAAATAATTGAAGCAAAAAGATTAATTTCTATATTTTTTTGTGATAAAAATTTTAAAACTTAATATATAAAAATTTTAGTTATATGCTAATATTGTAGATTATCACAAACCACCATATAAGTGGAAAAAACCAAGAATGAATTTTAAAGGTGTCATTTTTAAAAAGAAGATTTGAATGAAGCATGGCAATAGATCATCGATTTAGAAATTCGCTTCTTGTCTATTAAAAAATACAAATATAAATACAAATATAAATACAAATACAAAAGCAATAAAAGGATCCACCATAATACCATACTCTATTGCAAGTTAAAGTAGATAAATTTTTTTTGGTAACAACAAAGAAATTTTTTTCATTTTAATTAGTATATTCTTGTTACAAATTTAAATATAGAGATTAGAAATGTTATCAAATGTGTAAAAATTAAACTTATTCATCTCACTTCACTTCGATTTTTTGGACCAAAGACATAGATCTTTTGGACAACCAAATTTTTTAATAATTTAATCTTTAAAAAACCTTTTTTATTTTTATTTGCAGTAATAAATATTGGGTACACTACCCTTTGAATTTACATCTATCAATATAGCTTATCCCACGTGATATTATTACACACATTCCTAGAAAACCAAAGATGTTGAGAAACTCCCAGTGTTTTAAAGGTATAAAAATAGAGATAAAATTATAAAGAAATAATTTGCATGCTGTCCAACCATCAACCACAGAACTACATACAAATATTGATAAGATGTCGAAACCATAGCAAAGGTTGCCTGAAGCAAAAATTCAGGATTCCATCTTTTAAAGTGTTCAGGCCCAAGTTCCGCTACAGTGCGAGTGGGAGGCGTGAATGCCACCTAGGCGCATCCCTGAATGCCACTTGGACGAGCGCACGGCGTCAGGATCCAGCCCTAATACCGCGTGTCGTAGCCCATGGCCGTCTAGGTGGGCTCGCAGAAAGTAAGGCATGGCAGCGCCCCGCCTCCTTCACCGGCGCCACCCTTGCTTCAAGGATTTCTCACGTCCTTGTAGGTTGTGCACCTCCACCTTTTTCCGTACTTGTGTCGTTGTCGTTGCCATTCCTCACTCCGACAGCTCCACGGCACAGTCTTTGCGACGTTAGAACGAATTCTGCTAGAGATTTGCTGTGTTTTTTTAGGAGCGTTCGTGTGTTTTGAGGTGGGTGAGTGGATTTTGTCGGAGGCGCTGAGAGTAGGGTTTGAGCTCGAGTTTCGAGATGGGTTGGCTGTCCGTGGCAGTGCTGCGCGGTTATGCCTTGGCAGGACCCGTCATGATGCTGTTGTACCCCTTGTACGCTTCGATTATAGCGATTGAGAGCGCAGACAAGGAAGATGACCAGCAATGGCTGACTTACTGGGTGTTGTACTCTGTGGTGTCTCTTTTGGAGATGGCTGCTGGGCCTGTGATCGCCTGGATCCCGTTTTACTCGACGACAAAGCTGGTGATCGCGTCGTGGCTTGTGTTGCCGCAGTTCCGAGGCGGAATCATATTGTATGAGAAGTTTGTGAGCCCTTACTTGAACGCTGCCACTGGCCAGACGGACCAGAAGCTTACCCACTCGCAGCGGAAGGTGTTGGGTTCCATCAGCCCTGATGCACAGGCCTCGGTCGCTGCTTACATAAAGGAGAACGGACCAGGTTCTTTTGACGAGTTGATGCGAAGGGAAACCGCGAATATGCATGATGAGAAAGTAGCGGAGGAGAAGAAGCACGATGGTTATAGTTCTTCGGATCCTGAGTAGAAATTGGTTAGGAGGGAAAAGAGATATTTCTATTTCGCTGGTCGATTTATATGTTTAGGCAGGGCTGTTTATTTGAAGTTCGATGACATTGTGGCCGTGTTAGTTAGGCCCGTGCAATTTGAAAGCTCATGCACATGACCTTGACTGAAAAACGTTGTTTATACACTCTCTTTGACACTTGTAATATCAATTGCGTACTAGCATTTTACCACGACAATGGCGTTTTGTTGCTGCTGCTGTATTTTATTTTATTTGTTTTGTTGCTGTTGTTGTTTGACGTGTGTTTCTTTCTTCTTTCTCAGTTAAATATTAATTGTACACGAATGCAGTGTTCCTCGTTGTGACTCTAAAACTAGTATCAATGTCAAGTCCATTCGTTTCGTAAATTTAGCTGCCGTTCGTCTCAACAATCTCACATCAGTTAAAAAACGGAAACCAAAGTCTCATACTGCTCAAGACTTTCCTTCTGCGCGGTCGTCTGCATTTCAATGCATTATTTTGCTTCCTCTGCTGACTTGACAGATGTACTTTGTCCTTAGTTGTACTTGTGGAAACTTGACAACAAGTGTCAGGAAATGTTTCGGAGACGCTGCTGCCACACTTGAGCCCGTAGCTGATCACGCCCTTCTGTTCTCGTACGCTGGTTTCATCTACACTATCGCACCTAAGAAACTGTGCTTCCTTAGCAATCGTGCATGATTATTTGGGTTTTCAGGATTGCGGGCTTCATCGACCTTTCAGAGATAGCTTTCCCATCCATATCGATCTTCATCTATTAATTTTCACCTTGTAGGAATTCTCCATCATGCGAAATACGTAAGGATGTTATTGGGAATCGTGGCTAGGATCCAGTTCCATTTGTGTGGTTCAAGGACGTGAGACATGTCGAAATGCTATGTTAACATGCAGCATCAAAGTGGTGCTAAATACAACGAGCAGCCAAATGCAGAGTCATATTGTGAGCACAGACAATATTATCATTGGCTACGACGCCATCGGCTCATCCTCTCAATCGACAAACCAGAGCAGCAGATACAAACAGCACAGTAAATGCCTCTCTTCCATCACCCGCTCGAAGTTTTACACCACACGATAGATTCTAACATGAAACCTTGAAAGCAGCCAGACACTACCCACAATCGCAGTCAAGGCACACACATTTCTCTCACGGTGAAAGCCTCGATGCTCACGAACCCAACACACAAACTCTGTTTCAAAATCCAAACCAGGCTCTCTTGAACCAAAAGTAACACCCCACTGCACAAATTTCAGTGAAACTACTCAAAAAGTGCAGCTGCAACTACACTGAAACTCCCGGGCCAGGTGAGGAGTCAAAAAGGGTTTCGGGACGCCCTCATTCGCAGCCCAGTCTGGGCGCCGTCCAAGCTATGTGGTTTCCAAGACGACCCAAGATTCTACGAAGCGATTCGTGGAAAACCCACCTGAAATCGCAGTGCATTGTGTGGAGATATCGCCTCTTGGATGATGGGCTCGCCCCTCCGCGGGAAGTGGGATTCTCGATCCCTTCGCCAGGACCTAATTCTCTCTCGCAGATCCCTAACGTCCACTTGTAAGCCACTCTCCCGCCACGCCCGTTCCTCTAGAACCTTCTTTTCGATTCGCGGTCTGCCGGACGATCCCGGTGGCCAACGAATCCCACCCGACCCAACCCGACCCGACCCGCTCTGCTCCCATGCAAAGGGAGTCCAACATTACGTCTGGGCTTAACACGAGGACTACCATACTTTCCCATAAAACTAATTTGGGCCAATAGGAAGACATTGATTGAGTGAGCAGTTGATAAGAATTAGTTTCATTAAAGAATCTGTAATGACCGTTGCTAATTTTGAAGTTGGGACAAGAAATGAGATAGACTTGCTTGGCTTAGTTTGCCTCTCTTCAATACAAAATCTATAAATGGTGCTTGATCTTTCCCTTCTTTGTTAGTAAGTTATATCTTTGGTGGAATTTGGAGTGGTTTTGTGTTATTGTTTTCTCATTTCTCAATAGAATTTCCACCCACCGTTTATCCTTATTTCAAGTCCCTTAATGTTAAAGTGAAAGAAGCTTTTAGAATATTTTTGCAAAGTTTAAATATTATATTCTTCCATTTTAAAAGAAAGCTAAAATAAATACTTTTAAAATATTTTTAATTGTATTTCCTTATTAATTTAGTTACTTATTTTCTTAATATAATCTATAAAGGAGTTTGTAGGTAATTACTACAAACATAAATTCTTGCTTTGGATGAAAATTGAGGAGAGTTTGATAAATACTAAAATAATTTTCAATCTCTAAAATTTGACAAAGAAGTCAATACTACTACATAGCAAAACACAGTTCAATATTGTAATTTTTCAAAGATATAAACTATTTTAAAAATTAGACTGATCTGTATTTACAGTTAATTTTTTTTTTGGAATTTTAGAGTTAGTTTTTATAATTTAAACGTAACTGATAGAATTCAATATTATAAAAAAAATTATACTTTTAAAAAAAATTATAATTGAAAACTATAATTTTTCAATTCTCTATAAAAATAGAAAAAAAAATACAGAGAATTTAAAAATTATAACTAAAATTAATACTTTATAGTCTAAAATTTTATTTTGAATAAAATTTCCTCAATAAAATCAATTTATTTCAAATAATTTTGTATAGTAAACCATCCAAGTAAAGTAATTGTAATGCAAAAAATTTCATATCCAATTATTAGCACTTAAAACAACAAAATCTCAATTTATCACACTACATACTCTTAAAATATACTATATATTTTTAATAACTTATCTACTTGCTTTCTCAAAGAAAACAACACACAATGTAATAAACTAAAACCTTTTTTTTTTTTTTTTTTTTTTTTTTCCAGTTGCGCCAACTCTTTGTGCATAATCTAAAACTAATGGTGTCAACACTTCATTTCATGTAAATGAAAAAACCAGTATTCTATTGTAGCCGTCGCTTTATGCAGAACTAAAGCCATTTTGGGGGATTTTCCAACACTTCATGCAGAGCTCAATAAAAAGGGGTGACACGTGGAGTAGAGGATCTGAATCCTACATGTATCGAGCAAGTGCGAATTTCGACACCATCTTGTGGTCCCTATGAAGTCCATCTTGTGGTAGTGGAGACATTGGGAGGGAGGGACCAGCGCTGGCGCTGTGTGGAAGCTCCACCTCCCCTCGCACCGCCGTTGTCTTCTCCATTGCCTCTGCCAATGCAAACCCACTGCGAAATTTAACCTGTGTGTGTTATATAGCGTTCAATTTTTACTGAGTTTTTCTTATTTTCCTGTTTTTGTGTTTTGTTTTTATTTTTATGTGGGTCGGAGGGATCGTGAGTGAGTGAGTGAGCTTGTGTGGTTTGGTTTCCGGAGGTTGTTTGTTTGTTTGTTTGTTTCGTTTCAGAGGGTGTAGTTTTTGTGGGTGAAGAGGAGTTAGGGTTTGTTAGAGAGAGAGAGAGAGAGAGAGAGAGAGATTTTTGTCGCGGTTTGTTTTTTGAGGTTTGGCTTTGGGAGTTTACACAGCATGGGGTGGTTTTGGACGCTCGTGGCGAGGTCGAATGCTGTGGCAGGGCCAATTGTGATGCTGTTGTATCCGTTGTATGCGTCGGTGATGGCTATCGAGAGCCCGTTCAAGGAGGATGACCAGCAATGGCTCACGTATTGGGTGCTCTACTCGTTTGTGTCTCTGTTGGAAATGGCCGCTGCGCCCGTGTTTGCGTGGATCCCTTTGTATTCTACCATCAAGCTGGCTATCGCTGCATGGCTGGTGTTGCCTCAGTTCCGCGGTGGTGTTATCTTGTATGAGAAGTTTGTGAAGCCTCACTTCTATGCTGCGCTTGGGGGTTCAGCCGACAGTTCAAGCCTCTCCAGCGGGCAACGGAAGTGGCTTGGTAGCATCAAACCGGAAACGCGCACTGCAATTGCCAAGTATGTCCAAGTGAAAGGGCCTGAGGCTTTCGAGAAGCTTGTGAACTCGGAGCTTGTCAAGTCTATATCGCAAAAACCACGGGTTGAAGAGAACCCACACACCGAGTAAAAATGGTACTGCCGTGGGTAGCGTCACTTTCTGTAAGACACGGTGCTTGCAAAGTTTGTAAACTGTGATAGCCATTGTTGCCATGCTTTGTAGATACGGATGGGTCTTAATGGAAACCTACTACTATCAAGATCGCTCTGGTGTTGTGTTATCTTATTAGATTTCCTGCTTGTCGAACCCTCCAGCGCCAGTGCAACTTACGTTTGACTGCAGTGCTGAGGTTTTGGTATAAATTATTGTAATAAAGCTTGGATGTTGTACATAGTTACACGTGCAGTTATTGGGCCGAAGTTTACTTGTTGTGAATAGCAACTACGAGTGAGATTAGTTTTTCTTATCTAATTACTTGAAGCCATCTAGACTGCTCTTATTTCGGGAATCTGGTCTCATGTGTCTTTATTTAAAAATTCACTTGCGGCAGCGAGTGGGAGACTTAGATTATGGCTGCTCAATCCGTGAATTATCGCCTGCTTACGTAGTGCCTCCTTTTTCCGACCCTCATTGGCCCAAAAGACATTGTAGATTAAGTCTCTATTCGTTTCCATTAGCGGCACTTCTCCGTCTGTCTTATAACTTGTTATGCCTGTATTTTAGGATGGTTGTTCATGTGATGACGTCCTGTGTTGGTGCCCATCAGGTTGGGTAGCAATTCGAATTGCATAATTAAGTCCTCTATGTGTGACCGAGTTATGCAGGCTCAATAAATGGCAGCATTTTGTACCAGCACTTCACTGTCCTTGCAATACCAGCGCTTAAGTTGGTATAGAAGTGTGCATGCAAAAGTATTCTGAAAGCGACAACCACAAGAGAGGTGCAGAATATTTTTTTGAAAAGTTGATGCATAATGTCAGCTAGAAGAATAGTTGGAAGGGGCCTGTGTCTCCCAAACTTCCTATGAAATGTACAAAATACACTCGCTGTCCCGTACATCAGAAGTATATGTATGCACTGAACTTTAAGCCTTTAAGAGTTATAGAGGGAATGAAATATACAAGTAATCACTATCCCCCAAATGCCTCCTACAAGAACTTCAATTTTGGTATGCCCGATTGATTCTTTCAAAGGTAAAAGTCGCCATCCATCTTGATTTCCGAGCTCTTGGATGTCTACTTCGCCCACCCTCATTGATGGCAACTGCCCAGCTAATTCGAAGAATCGTGAAGACCTTGTGTAAGCTCCATTATTCATATCCGCAGCTGCCCCAACGGGCGACTTGCTCGCATTGGGTGAACCAGCTTCCAGAGTTGCTAAAGAGGACTGCGTTTGCGTGGCTGATGAAGAGGGAGTATAAGTATTATCCATGAAAGCAAGTTCGGCTTCAATGGGGTCCCGAGCGAGTGCAGCACCGATTGCCGCAGATGAAGGGGTGGCAGCCGAGAGAGATTCTTCCTCTTGAGATTGAGGAAGAGGCACGTATGATACCACCATGGTATTTATGACTTTGGCCTGCTTCCCAACGGCATTTCTTACGCCCTGAGACAAGTCATAGAGTGCTGTTTAGCATGATATAAATGGATTAATATGACCGACTAGAAGAATAGCGTCATAAAAGCAAAAGAAAAACGAAAACGGGGATCGCTCTAGATTTTTATGATCTCAATCAAGCGGCATTGCAGGAACATTAATACCGTGTTTCTATTACTGAGTATGAGTACGTGATTGTATTCGTTGGAATGAGATACTGCTAAGAAACAAGCACATTTATGCACAAAGATTTCCAACAGGGTTGTGTCGTCGGTAGTGCACCTGGGCATCATACATCACGATGCCTGCTATGATAACAGATAATCCAAATACTCCATCAGATAATCCTCTGCATGCAAAGAAACACCACTATTAATCCCGCTAGTGCAGGGGAGCACAAACAAGCACATCAGTCCAGTCACAAGAGCAGATTTGTAGAACCCACAAGAGATTTTACTAATAGAGCCATAATTCAGCCAGTCTTTTTCCAGGGCTCAACGGGACTAGATCTTCAGTCCAGCAACGCAAGAGACCGGTTTGCAGTTGTGATTCTCACCTTTCAAAAGCTAGAGCTGTTGCAGCTGCTGTGACAGACTGTTGCACAATTTCAGGGTTGCACTTTTTAGTTTTCTACACCCATTTTTCAACCCTTCTTTCTTTCCAAAAATTAAATTAGAAAATCCAACTACCATGCCTCCACATGTCCTAAGGAACGGACCGTCAGGTGGCCAGCACCTGACACATACCATCACACTGAAAAACAAAAAAATATCAGATCGAATCAGTAAGTCATCTTAATGGAGGAACAGTGTAGGTAGAGATGCTTACAGCGGCATGAGAGGAGGGCATGCCACCAGACTTGATGACCAACTTCCAGTTGAAGCCTTTACCAGCCAAAGCTGCTGCAAAAGGTTTCGCGAGTTGGCCAAGCGTACTTGCTGTAGCTGCCGAAATCAATACCTAGTCACAAATTCACGGTGCCTTTTCTCAATAAACAAAAATTCGGGCCTGATTCTAAGGGAGAAACACAGATTAGACTGTTTCGTTTGTTTATATATATGACACGAAATCCGTAGAAGAGGTTGCATAATAATTAAAACATAATGCGCGTTAATCTACGCTTAGAAAAATGCTCAAACATGGCATAAATTAGTGCAGAACTTCAAAGTATCAAAGAGTTGATGAGACATCTTTAATTTAGAACACAACCTCCGATCGTAATTTCCTAATTTCTCACTTATTCATTCAAGGTTTAGAGATAGATAAATCACTGGAATTATTACCTGATTCGATGCCAGTTCTTCAAGTCCAGCTCTGAATTGCATTCGCAGATCCCCTCTTCTTCTTTGCTTTATTTGCAACCTCGCATTCGCAACATTTACTTCACCCAACCACTCTCTCCCTCCTAGTTTCAATTTCCCTACACGATGGATCCCCTGACCAGCGACATCATGTTCACCACGCCTGCCGACGTTGCGATGTGCACAAGCTCCAGGCGCAGCTGGGTGTTTCAGTAATCGTGCAGCCATCACAAAAGCCCCGGTCGCAACTCCCTATGAGAAAAATAACAAATAAAAAATAAAAATAAAATGCTCCAGCTCAGGAACCTGTAAATCCACGAAAATTTCCTGAAGCAATCCTCAACTTCGGAACAAAGCCCTATATCACGACCCCCACAGCCGATTCAACTCCGCGAATTCTGCCGCAATAAGGCATCGCCAATCATTCGCCATCTACTGTCCCACACGAACTCCCCTAAACCCCATGTGGAATGTAGCGCTCCAACCCTCTTCCTCCTCCACCCTCCGAACCCACAAATCGAAACCCACCAAGGACCCGCGATTAGGACTCGAGCATCCAGACTAGCTAGGCCAGGACGAAACGACAGGCCCTCATATTTTTCGAAATTGTCCACCCAACGATGGTTCTCAAATTGGGTGAGAAGATAAATGCTTTCGGGGTTAAGGAAAACCAACGGCAGGCTCAGATGGAGGGTCAAAATCCAGTTAACGACAGGAATAGGACGCGAGGTGGGGAAGTCCGCGCTGCGGAAACTGCAGAGCGTTGCTTAATATGGGTTCCGTAGGCGACGATGCCGATGGAAATTTGTGATGTGGGTTTGTCGTCAGGGTGTGGAAATGATCGGCGCAGAAAGGGCCATGCATGCATTGTTACCTGTAGGGTTCGATGCACCGATTGAAGGCCGCGAGGCAACTCTGCCTTCCGCTTTCGCAAGCCGGAGACGCAACGCTGCCGCTCCACGCCGACCAATTCTCTCCACGGTCAGCTGTGACCGCTCCCTAAAATCCCACGGTCTTGGAACCCCGCGGTCACAGGTCGTCTGGTGTCGTGCGTTTGAGGAGTGAGATTCCTCGAACATCCCACGAAAATGGTGGGATAATCTGTTTTTATATAGAAATAATGTGTAATTAATGAAGTCTTTAAATGGATTGCATTTGAGGTGTTCAATTGATTTCTAAATGAAAATAACAGATGATTATATTGTGTGGAACATTCTTGTGTTATTCTAAATCCAATACACCAGTGATTTCCTAACTTCAAAGCACACAATTGATTTTTAATTGTATTTTAAATGAAAGAACTCTATTAGTTTCTTGGAACTTTGTCAAGATACAATATGGTTGAAGCCCATGGAGTGAGGCTCTTGGTATCAATCTTGGATATTGAGTCTTTTAATCTTTTTTCATTTATTGGGTACTTAAATAAGGCAAGAATTGATTAAAATTTTGAAATAAATTCATTGAAAAAATGGATGCATGAAGAGATATAATGCCCTTTAGATAGATGTGCAACACACACATTTGTCTTTAATGTGTATATATATATATATATATATATATATATATTTGCAAAAGATTTATATGTATTAGCATATATGTGTATATATATATATATATATATATATATATATATATATATCAACATGAATTATAATTTATTAAATTATAATATTATAACATCAATGTTAGATTTTTACTCTATTTAAAATTAAAATGAACTATAAAAGTTAAATGATTATTGAGATTTTTATGTTAGAGAATTTACACTTATAAAATATGTAAAATCAATACATAATAACAAGTTCATTTTAGTAGATAGCAAAGGCATAATAAAGTAAATTTAAGATTTATTTCAATTTTATTACTGTATAACATACAAATAAAAAAATATAGAAGATATTTACATTAGATGAAGAATACCAAAAATAAAAAGTGTTTTTAGTCTCTGTAAATCAAAATCTGTAGACTAGCAGAAGTTAATTACATCATGTCTATGCTAGAATCATAAATCATTGTCTCGTTTAAAAAAGTAAAGAAAAAACTATAAATGCATAAAAGTGGTTTATTAATAGAATTTTAAGTATTTTATAGCTTTTAAAATATATAAATAATTAAATAAATAAATATATATATATATTTTTAATATGGATTAAAAATTTGTAGGCATAATTTTACAAATAAATTTAATTGATTGGTCAGAATTACAGTAAAAAATAAAAACTTTAAGTAGAAAAAAAATATAAAAATATGCAAAGAAATATACAGACCTAAAAATAGAACGTATTTTAAAATAAACATGCTTCAAAAAGAAAGTAGTTCCCTAGACGTAGCAAATAAAAATATTTTATTAAAAAAATAATGGTACAAATATAAATTTAAATCATAACATAACTGTTTTGTAAAGAAATTATTTAAATATAGTCAGTAGTTGATACTAATATCTCTAAGTCAATTTTTTTTTTTTTTTTTTTTTTTTTTTTTTTTTAAACTAAATTAACAACTTAACTTTGCTTAGGCATTTTTCTTCCTTTTTTTATTTAAATAATACTAAATATATACATATTTTAGAAATTTCATTTTTTTCTATTTTTATAAAAAATAATGATGTTATATTAATGATTTTTTTTTTTTTTTTTTTTTTTTCTATTACTCCTCAAATATGAACACGGAGTGTGTTGAGCATGACGCTGTGGTGTGAAAGCGGTCCTCGTGTGAACAAGGAAACTCCATGAAGGGAGTTCGTTTTCTCCAGCATGAAGTTGCAGTGTGAATAGGGCCCGATAACACCGACGGAGCCCCTTTCATAGAACTCTGTCCTTCTAGTGTAGTGTGAATGGGGCTGCATTTTGATATCATTTATCACTGAAATTATTATAATACATATTTTTTTTTATTTTACTATTAAAATTTAATAATTATTTTATAGTATGTTTTTTACATAGGTTTTGGATTTTAATGAATTTATATATATATATATATATATATATATATAAACACATATACATATAGAAAGAGAGAATGCATTTTTTAATACAAAATTTATAATAAAAAATCATAATTAAAAAATCACTATTGCAAATATTTAGAAAACATAGAAATAAAGGTTGATGTTCAAAATCCAACTACAAAATTTCAACCTCACTTAACCCTGCCATATCAAAAGAAAAGCAATATCAAAAATGATAAATAGATAAATAAAATAAAATAAAATATTTGCATTCATTGCCATAATTAGAAACATGTGGCTTTCTTTTGATGTCACACATCAGCAAGGCCTTTGAGATTTCATGCACAAGCATTGCTTTTTCACTGACACAAACTTCTTTTATAGCACTATTTGTGAAGACCATGTCGCTTTGGAGCTAAGCAATAATATATATATACAATATTGCCGATGTAGGTTTGCTTCTTCAATTCTATTCATTATAGATTAATGCATCCGTAATCTAAACATAGTTACAAAAAAACATCTTTTTTGATCTAACTTATAATCAAACCAGGTTGAAGTGTGATAGGATAGGTGCCAATATAGCATTCCACATTAAGATCATTTCTATATATTGAAAATATTTTATATATTAATATATGATCAATGTTATATAATATATTATATATATAAGAAGTGTAAGATCAATATTTAGTAGAAAATATTTTATATAAAAAACTAATATATTATATAAAATAATTATCTTCATACTCCCATTAAAATATTAATCTTCATCCTCAAATTGAATTTTACATACAATACAAATTTAACTATTTTTAAAACACACACACACACACACACACACACATATATATATATATATATATATATGAGAAATATAGGTTTTCAATTTCTTTTTTGGTGTTGTGATGTCGGAGAACTCTCGCAAAGTTTTCCTATTGCTTCTTCGATTCTAAGAAGGTATATAACTTCTTCTATTGCTTTGTATTTTTTTGTTGCTTTTTATTTGTTGTTTGCACATTTCTTATTTTATTCTTGAAAGAAGTAGTGTTGTTATTGAAAGAGACATTGTAAATACCATTGCAATTATGAGTTCTAAAATAAGTATCCATACAAGCTTTGCAATAGATGTAATCGCTTCAATGATGAGCTCCGTAGCAAAGTGATGGTAAGCTCTATAGTAGGCTTTGCAATAGGCATTGTTGTGGCTGTTGTAGCATGCCTTACTTTATTTTCTTTTGGTAATTTTAATAGATAGGTTTTTTTTGTATTTTGATATGTTATGGATTTGAAATAAGTTATCTTACTAGATTGTCTCTCGTTCCATGATGTATCAAAATGTAGATGTTGTATAAAGTCTTGTTATTGTGAGTAGACCAACAAGGCTTAAATGATTGTTAAACAATTTGCTTATTCTATATTTAAAGGAAGTTGATACAGGCCTAGTTGAAATAAATATTGAAAGTATTTTTCTTTAAAAAGATACTTTGTAAATACATCTGCAATCACATATGTGGTTGGCACATATTGCAATTTGATTTCCTTGGGATACGTCTTCTGTTTAACACAATATTATTTTATGTCCACATATTTACTTTTGAGATAATATTTGGAATTTTCAATAAAAAAATGGTACTTTGACTATTTAAATATATGGTGGTTAGTTTATGTTGAAGAAATCTAAGTTCATATCATAAATTTTTCAACTATATGGTTTCAATTGTTACTTTTGTTAAAACCTTGTATTTTGATTTTGTAGATGATAAAACAACAAATTATTATTTCTTGCTATTTTAAAAGATAATTCCTCAAACTAGTAAGAAACAAAATCTAGAAATAGAGCAATAGATGTTTTTGTCACCTACCTAGTCAATATCAAAATAATCATGTAGAATATCACCTTGAGGTAAGTGTTGATATTTTATTCTAAAATTGAATGTGCCTTTTATATATCTTATAGTTCTTTTTAAAGTTTGAATATATGTAGATCAGTATTTAGAGAGATATTATACTCAACTACAAATAATATAAAGATAATTTAATCTATAATTAATAATAGTATGTATTAAATTACTAATAATTTAAGAATATAAGTAATCTTAAACAAATTCTTGGTTGAATTGGAATACTTCATGGATTGAAATTCAACATGTTAAATTTATTAAGTTTATTTATTAAATATTTTGCTTAATGGAGGATTATCCATCTTTTTTTTTAATTTTTTAAGATGGCATTGCCTAAAATGTAATAAATTTATTTTTTATTTGACATGTCAAATTCTTATTGTAGAATGTCTTATTACTAATAATAATACAATCATCAACATAGATTGTAATTATAATAAAATCCTTATCATTTTTCTTTTGATGTATATGTTTATATTTTATTTTAAATATTAATATTTTTAAAGAATTAAATATTGATCTAATCTTTGATACTATGTTTTAAATAATTTTTTAAGATCATATAGAGATTTATTTAACTTATATACCTTGTATCAAAGATAGAAATCTTAAAGAAAGAAAATCCTTGATATACTCTTGTATCACTGAAAGGAACTAGAAAGTAACTCAAAGATGATATAATATTAAATTTGAATGGCTATTGCCAAAAACAAGAAGACTAAAAAGTCTTAAAATAAGACTAAAGACTAGAAAGGCATTGACAAGAGTAAAGAAGGCTTTATTCTTACTTCCATAAATACTCTTAACTAGGAGTTACGTGGCAATGTCTTATGAGACCTCCAAAATATGTTGACTTTGTAAGATACATATTTTAACATGCCAGACAAGTTTTTTATATGTGCACTACATAGTTAATTTGTTTTGCAAGCTATCAATAGGTGATTAATTTATTGACCAAGTTCCTAACCTATCAATCAACTATAAATATATATAAAGTCAAATCAACATCTATGAAGCTTTTTGAAAGCTT